AGAAGGTCCCTAATGCACTGCTCGCCTGTGTAGCCAACGATCCGTTGATGTGTGGAGGTTTGGGGCATACCTCTGGTTTAGGGGGTTATATGGGGATGAGATACGGGTTCTATTATAAGGACTATAAGGATATTACCCCGAAAAGGAAGTGTCAAATGGAGAACAGCGCGTGGGAAATGCCAAATGGAAACTGGGGCATATATAGCGGCTATCCAGCTTACCTCTGGTTAGTTGGGAGTGAAGGAAAGGAAAGCGAATGGGAACTACTGAAGTAGTGGCGTTCACATGGGCCATTGTCTAAGCCTTAGTCTAAGCTCCCCCCTCCATAAGCACTATACAATCGTCCCCTATACTAGCACAAGGATTCATTCCTTCATTCCCTGCGAACCAAAGGAAAGAGGGCAAAGGGGGCTCGCTCAAAACAGGCACGAGGCGAGAGGTATGGAGAAAAAAAGCCTGAAGACGGATCGTCTCTGTTTAGAGCCTAGGTTTTAGAGTTCAAGTCCCCTAAACTCAAAACTCTAAACCCATAGGGTTTCGTGATTCGACTTGATAGAATGAAATTTCCAGGTGGGTAGCTACCAGGTGGGTGTCCCCAAATGGGGCTCATAAGGCTCTCGTCAGGCTGAAGTCTAAAAAGGCTTCCTTGCAGTGTATAGGCCTCCTTTCAGGGTACCCACTTCATAGCTATGCACCTGGAAGTGTCTTTTAACTCTAAACACTTAACCCTAAACTCTAAACGCCCTAAACCCTAAACAAGCTATTCTCGCCCTTCAGGCATAACCTTTGGAGTCCTTTGACCTGTGGATTTCCAGAATCAGGGGGTTACATTTTTGTGAGACCCTGTAATGAATGCTACGGGGATCTGTCTTTTGAATATGCACACTCATATTCCCCGGAGGATCTCGCATGGCTGGCTTCAGACAGGCAAAGCACCGTCTTTGAAGTTCCAGATGTAGCTATTGATATCGGGCCCTAAGAGACCGGATGGGGATCCCTAAACCCTAAACCCAGCAATGGGGATGTATGGAGATTACACCGGGGTTATGAGGGCGCCTGCCTTGAACACTTCCATCATTTCCCGCTTGCTAGCTCTCGATCCTAAACACTTGCAACCCACGCTGGGTGTGCAAAATCGCTAACAACAAACAGCAGCCTATGAGGATGTTGTTCTGATGGCTGTTTTCTGGTTGAAGCCAGTAATGCTACCCCTTTCTTAAAGAACAAGAGGATATCGTCTTGCTCTAGCGCGAGGTGTGTAGTATCCCTGTTCAAAGAAACACCCATGTGTGCATACTACAAGTAGCAAGCCCTACACCCTAACCCAGACCTCTGATTAATCAACACCCTCCTCCCAATACGGATTATAATACGGATCCGAATATCTAGGCCATTAAAACGGGGAGAGGGGGGGGGGGTTATTAACCATAGGCCTACATTAAGCCCCAAACCTTCAAAGCTTGATGTCAGCCCTGCGTTTTGCGCAGATTCCGCCGATGACCTCTGGGAGGTCGATATCCTGCCAAGCGAACTTTTGGGAGGGTCAGGGGGAACTAATCATGGAAAAGAAAATGGCAACCGCTATAGTGTTTAGGGTCGAGGCTTTTAGGGTCAGTGTGATTTAGTGGATAGGCTAATCATGGAAAATGAGTTTTCTATATGGCTTATAGTCTATAGGGTTATGAACCTACTGACTAAGTCCCCTGACCCTCCAAGTACAGGAAAGGAACATTTGGAAGCTCCTAGCAAAGGATGATTGAGCGATAGAAAATCAACACCTGGTCGATAGCTTAACAAAACAATCCCCCAGTTCTCAGCCAAACTGTGGCAGCACTAGATTCATGAGTTCGCCTGCCACCCCCCTGCTCCCCTATCATCCCCGTGGCTAGTATAGAGGATAGTACGAGAACTCAGGATACATGTTGAAAGCAAATATGTAGACCAACCCTATACCTTAGATCCTACAACCCCAGCCCTGCTGGAACACAACGGTATGACAATTAGGCAGCTGCTTTGCGGATCGGGCATTCTGAAGCTTGCAGGGATTAGCATTTAGGGCTTAGGCAACACTCAAATGGTTTGGATATTCTCCTTATCCCTCAGGGGCCAAGGACCCAAATAATAGGGTTTTTGGGCCCAAAAACAATCTAAAGCCCTACTATTTGGGTCCTTGGACCCTTAGGGTATGCCTTGGATATGTTTCCATCGGTCGGTTGGGGATGAGAGCCTCTTGGGTCCCACAGCATCTCCTCTACACGAATTCCTAAAGGAGCACCAGGAAACCGTCCCGGAAACTACCGCATAAGCTTTCCTGTGGCTCACTGAATTCCTTGTTTCTGTTAAGAAAAATGGGGGGGTGTCACAAAATAGACCCAGATATAGTAGAATCCTTATAATAATGGAAACCCCTAAAAAGGACCGCAAATTATGCAAAAGCCCCCGCACCGGAGCCCATGGTGGAGCCCAGAAGACACCTGGTTCAAAGATAACATGCATAACCCCATTTTGGGACAGCTTCCCACGTAAACCACCCTTTTAGGTGAAGTGGGAGGAGACCATCAAAACTTGCTCCCTTTCCCAGAGCACATCTAAACTGCACTAGCACCATGGGCCTCACAGGCTTAAGGTGAACACGGCACTTGGCACAAAGATCAAAGGTTCACTTTGAAGTGCCCACCGGCCGAGTGCCCAGCAAGATTCAAGAATGAAAGCCCACATACCTTGGAAGGTCTACCTAAAACCTAAACATTTGGGTATTTGGTCCGTCACTTTGACCCTTAGGGATCAAGACCCCCAGGACTCCTCCCACACGGGACCCACACGGTTCAGTCCAAAACTATGGCAACTGCTCCTCTCCAAATTTCATCCTGGGTCCCCATATGAGCAAAAAACTTCTTAAAGAGGGTTATATAGAGGATTATTTCGGGGAGTATATATAGGGGGTATTAAGGGGGATACTAGGAGTTAAGACTACATCTCATTTACTGGTTATATGTTATATACCCCATAAAGCCCGACAAGCCTAATGGGCCCTAAATCTGATCCCTAAACCTTACACCCTATGAAACCCAATGGGCCGTAAACGGCAACATTGTACCCTACAAAACCCTACGAAGCCGATGGTTTAGGGTTTAGGCCCTAAACCCTGAACTCGGCACCCTCAGACCCTAAACCCCAAACCCTGAACCCTGAAACCCTAAACCCTAATCCCTGAAACCCTAAACCCTAAACCCTGAAACCCCAAACCCCACACCCTGAAACCCAGACCCTAAACCCTCAACCCGAAACCGCGCTCTCCCTGGCCTCGCTCTCCCTGGCCTCAGGCTTAGGCCTCAGCCTTCTCAGCTTTGGCCACCAGCCCCTCCATCTCCACCTAAACAGCTTTCAAAAGGGTATTGGGTTTAGGGTTTAGGTTTTGGTGATATGGGGGTTATATAAAGATTATAGGGGATACATAAGGATAATGGAAAAGTAAATGAAAGCTACTATTTAGGGTTTAGGGTGTGGGCTGCTGTTTAGGGTTTAGGGTCTGGGGTTTAGGGTAAGGGTTCAGGGCTAGGAGCTAGAGTTTATGGGCTTGGACTGTTGTCTCCAGGTCTTGGAATTTAGGAAGTGAGGGTGTAGAGGTTTGGGGACTTACTTAGAACATACTAATATAACAGATGCTTGAAGGATTCTAAACCAAGTCGAGGAGTCCCCTAGCATCAAACACGACCACTTTTCTATCATCATAGACTGTTACGAGCTTAAAAAGGGGTCAAGTGCACCTAGCCAGAATATGGGTTTCTCTTCTTCTGAAAAGTGTGCAGGCTGTCCTCACAGACCGACAGCGTCTAGGCTAACGGGAGGTTCCCAGGTATTAGTTGCAAAGGTTCCGGGTTTAAGGTGTTGGATTTGACGTTTCGGTCGTGGGGTTTCGGTTCTCAGGTGTTGAAGCTGATATACAGTTTTGCTTGGAACCTCGCTAAGGACCTTGCAAGGTTTCCGGGACTCTGGCTTCAGAAACTTCAGGGCAGAGGCCACGATAAACCCTGCTTTGAGTTGGCCTTAAGCATCCCACACAAATATGGTAGTTTCCCCAAATAGGGGGACCCCAATATAGACCCTCATATGCTGTAATCCTTATTATGGGGACTCCCCAAAGAGGTACCCCTAATTTTGGGCCCCCCCAATTAAAAACAACTTTCCATTTCATGTAGAGGAGGTCTGCTGGAAAAAAGGGCAGAATCACCGTGAATAAGCCCCAAGCAGGCCAAGTTACTGGCTCAGGGCTTGGGGTTCAGGGCTACTAGCCAGTGGAGTAATGGACCCCTACGCGCCCAAGTGCCCAATAACCATATGCGTCCCAACAGCCTGTAGAACCTTGACACTCAAAGTAGCACAAATAGATTGAATGAATTTGCTGCCTCAAGCCAGGACATGCGCTGTAACGGAGGGGCCTGTGTGGATCGTGGTGCCTAGTGATACCCCAAGAATGGAGAATGACATGAACGAGAACATGGAAAATAGACTGGAATGTAGGCGCCGATTTACTTGGACAAGGTGTTTTTGAAAGTACAATATGTTCTGCCATGGCTGCACAAGGGTTGTAGTAAGGGAAAAAATCGTGAAGTTTCAGGGTTCTAGCTTACACATTTTCTGCCGGGTCAAGCGATTGTGAAAGCCTTATGGCATCTGAGCATGTTTTTCTGCGCAATGAAATTTGTCAGGGACAGAAAGAACATAACCAACCACATTCCAGACCACAAGTCTCAAAACATCCCAGGAGGCTCTAAAGTTCAAACCCTAAACCCTAACAACCCAAACCCCTCAACCCTGAACCCTGAACC